CACTAGATCTATCTATGTGCCAAGTTTGGTGAAGAAATATGGTACGGTTTTCAAGATCTGCTCCGGAAACGAGGACTACCACCATTTTCAGTCTAAATCAAAGTCGTTGCCATGGAAACTCAAAAAATAATTTTTTTTTAAATCCCAAACTATCAAAAGGCACCAGTTCCCCACTAGATCTATCTATGTGCCACGTTTGGTGAAGAAATATGGTACGGTTTTCAAGATCTGCTCCGGAAACGAGGACTACCACCATTTTCAGTCTAAATCAAAGTCGTTGCCATGGAAACTCAAAAAACAAAACAAAATTAAACCCCAAACTGTCAAAAGGCACCACTTCACCACTAGATCTATCTATGTGCCAAGTTTGGTGAAGAAATATGGCACGGTTTTCAAGATCTGCTCCGGAAACGAGGACTACCGCCATTTTCAGTCTAAATCAAAGTCGTTGCCATGGAAACTCGAAAAACAATTTTCTTTAAAATCCCAAACTATCAAAAGGCACCAGTTCACCACAAGATCTATCTATGTGCCAAGGTTGGTGAAGAAATATGATACGGTTTTCAAGATCTGCTCCGGAAACGAGGACTACCGCCATTTTCAGTCTAAATCAAAGTCGTTGCCATGGAAACTCGAAAAACAATTTTCTTTAAAATCCCAAACTATCAAAAGGCACCAGTTCACCACAAGATCTATCTATGTGCCAAGGTTGGTGAAGAAATATGGTACGGTTTTCAAGATCTGCTCCGGAAACGAGGAATACCGCCATTTTCAGTCTAAATCAAAGTCGTTGCCATGGAAACTCAAAAAACAAAAACAAATAAAATCCAAAACTGTCAAAAGGCACCAGTTCACCACTAGATCTATCTATGTGCCAAGTTTGGTGAAGAAATATGGTACGGTTTTCAAGATCTGCTCCGGAAACGAGGACTACCGCCATTTTCAGTCTAAATCAAAGTCGTTGCCATGGAAACTTGAAAAATAAAAAAAAATTAAATCCCAAACTATCAAAAGGCACCAGTTCACCACAAGATCTATCTATGTGCCAAGGTTGGTGAAGAAATATGGTACGGTTTTCAAGATCTGCTCCGGAAACGAGGAATACTGCCATTTTCAGGCTAAATCAAAGTCGTTGCCATGGAAACTCAAAAAACAAAAACAAATAAAATCCCAAACTGTCAAAAGGCACCAGTTCACCACTAGATCTAACTATGTGCCAAGGTTGGTGAAGAAAAATGGTACCGTTTTCAAGATCTGCTCCGGAAACGAAATGTGACGGACGGACAGAAGGACGGACGGACTGACGGACGGACGGACGGCACCCATTTCTATATCCCCCTTCCACTTCGTGGTGGGGAATAATAAATACCTTACAAAAGTTTTTGATTTATTAGTTATGGGTGGTTTTTAGTGGTTTTTAGTGTTTTTATTTTTATTTTTGAGGGCTTGTAGTCAACTGAGGGAGTCGGTTAAGGTGAGGATTTTTTGTTGTTTTTTAGATTGCTGATTGTGTAGTGCTGAGACAACTAATAGGTCTCAAGATTAGGTATTCGGCTGGATGGCAGCTGCCATTTAATTACAAAACAGACAGTCGTCTAGACGGCTCACATGTAAGTGCGCCGACATGTGCCTAAGATCATAAAATGGACAATCTTAGGTAACATCTAATTTATTGTTGTCTCACGCCAGAGCTGTGAATAATTCTGTTCATTGAACAATTGGAATTCAGGAAGTTATCAATAATTGTTTTACTTAACATAAGATAAGATAAGTTGTTTACAACATAATTTTATGATGTCAGGACGTACTACAGTCAAAACAATATATTTTAAAATCAATTTAATGACAGACTATGATTTCCAAGTCCCGATTAGCAAATCAATGAGGTATCAGTTTCACCACATGTGCACAGACCGCCTATACTTATATGTATATATTTTTCATAACTATTCTCCAGTTAAAGTCCTATTCTCTTATCAAAAAATCTGTGAGAGTGATCATCATTAACGAAACTCATTCTCGTCAAAGAATACAGAACAAATGAAGAATCAGATGCATACATTTATTGCCATGCTTCATTCATCACGAAGTAGATTTACATATATTTGTGAATAGCACTTAAACTGTGATAATGAATTTTACCATTGTCAATATTATATTATAAATATTAACCATAACATGGATTTCCGAATATATAAACGACTCCAACGTTGATATTTCAGACAAAAACAAAGTCAGCTGTCTTTTAACGTTCAGGGGAAAAGGGTTTGCTTTCACAATTGAACATTTGTTTTCACCAAAGGACAATCAAATCAATCCAAAAACACGAAAAATACACATATCTGGTTAGCAACCTTCATTATACAGCGAGGGGGGAAATTCGTCTGCTCTAACTGCCTTCACAAAAACATTCCAGCCCTTAATTACCGAGGCAGCTGTGACGTAGTAGCATTACATTCGCTGCATTTGCAGCATATAAGATGTGTACTAAAGTAAATTACAGCTGAAATCTTACTTGTATGGTTGTTTTAATAGAAAACTTACGGTTTAAAAACACAATTGTTCTTATATAATGTTTTTAGGTTTGGTTTATAAATACAAGAGAAGATTTTTTATACATATAAAACTGGTCGAAAATACAGCTGAACAATAGAAAAATAAAAATAGGAGTTGTGAATAGTAACAAATTTTAATTACATCACCGTGTCAATAATTATTGATTTATTCCGTCAAACAACTGTCAAACCATTTATTGCCATGTACGTACATGTACACAGGAAGTCGGCGCTGTCGGAGGCTCCAGGTAAATAAACATCGTGGTTTTATGACGGGAGATCAGACGAACCGTGAACCAGGGGCATGCGACGTAATTACACCTAAAGGTGGTAGAACCAGGGTATTGTCTCTTGGACTGGCTAATTGACCATACGTATAATTGGTAAATATATTCGTTTTGAGACCCGTGTTTCATGCGTATCCCGGCTCATAAGCAGAATACAGACAAATGAGGCCCTGTGATCAGCGGAGCGTGAACAAGATGGATGCCGCCTTTTGGCCGTACGGAACAGTCAAGCTGCGATCTCGGAACTGAATCCAATTGCAAGCGGAGACAAGATTACTACCCTTACCCAAACATGATCGTTGCTCAGAAATGTTCAAATCTATCTTCAGTAAATCATGAAATTAATGCGAGCATGACATTTATGCGAAAAATGCAATCGTCAGTCCCTCTGATTATTTTAATATGTTTCATTTCATCATGATAAAAATGTTACTTATAAGGTCACTTATAAGGTTACCACGTTGAAAATGGAAATGATCGTTAACCAAAACAACAAAATGTTTTCTCTCATCACTCAGCCTAACAGTGATATACATGTAACTGCAAATAAAACAATCAAGTACGCTAAAGTATTACACATGGTGGGTGGAGCACCAGGGGCACTTTGAGTTTGTCAGGTGTCATCAACTGGTCAAGTAACATCACGGTTTGTATATTCACGTTGATTGGACAGTCTAGACTGGCGCCAACTAATCATGACGGCGTCTTCAGAACAGAACAGAACTTTATTTCTCCCAGGTTTAGGCTTACGTGGATAACGGAATATTTTGTTTAAGTGATAGCACATTTGTAATTCAATCTAATATACTTTCCTTGATTGATTATATGGCTGCGGTCGTAGATCCGGATGTATCTAAATATGCTCAGTATATACACAGGGTTTATTGTTATACTATTAGGATTAATAGATACAATTGAGTATTTATACCCTTGATCATAAAGTTAGTCACTACTTTCACATTTTGATTTGTATGATTTGGGTTATGATTAAATTGACAAAATAAGAAATCATTCTGTGTATATGTGTATTATATATTGTACCCCAATACGTAATTAAATTGTGTATAAATAAGGACACTAGGTTATTACTGTAATTGATTATTTGATAAACATATTCACATTTAGTTGCGTGATATGTTACAGAGGTAAAGCTAATTCATAACAACTAATTGTCCCATTTATTTGGCTTCTATCTTTTATATGAAGCAAATGCTATAACATGGGGCGATAAACTTCATTGGCAATAGACGTAGCATATAATTGTCCACATGAACAGTCTACTCTGTTCCAGATATGTTCATTCATTTTGTCAGCATTTAAATCGTTGCATTCCTGGCTCAATGATTCATTTGACGAAATCTTGTTCCCTGTTTTGAATTACCGTCAGATAGTTCCAGAACAATTATAAAATTTCCAGCCCTATGTGTTGCGCATAATTCCGAGATAATTCGAAGTTCATATTCTTGTACGAACACTTATCAAAATTCATTTATACCTAGTACTATTATGTACATATGTATATTAGTTCAAATTATAATAATGAGGCCCTCTATATTCTCGAAACGGTCTTTGTTCTACGACAACCGTAAGTCGGTATGGGAAAACAAAATATTTGTTTAATTGTTCAAAGTTCAAAGTCAATGTCATATGATTATAGACAAGGAAGATAAGAATAGAATATAAAGAGTAGCCACTTTAAATGACAGAAATTCTTTTAGTTAAATTTGCTCATGATTTGGTCTTTTCGTGGTACATAGTGCCAAAATACTCTTAATTATTTACTTTCATGTCATTACTAATCTCACATAAGGTCAAAAGTTGTACAACGTTTAACAGATATGATGATGACATGTTGTATCCAAACATTTCCAAACAAATCCAAACAAATCCAAGCTTGGAAATATGACCTTGCCACATATTGGAATGGTCATATTTCCAATTGGAATGGTGGTATTTCCAAGTTTTAGATTTTTTGGAATGGATGATATTTTGTCCAGTGGTAGTTCCAAATGTAGGAACCAGATACACTGAGATACACAGAGAAAGGGAGGACTGATTCTCCAATGTGATATTGAAAGTCAGTCTCAAATAATTCTTTGTGGGAACAAGCATGTTAAGTTTCAGCTTATAAATATATGTAATTGTGTTTATAACTTACTTGCAACTGTAGAGGTGGTTTCATTTTGCACACGCTCAGGAACAGAATCAAATTCAGCTTTTGCCTGAAAGAAATACGAGTAAAAAATATTTTGGATTTTCTAATTGTATTACACAAGTCAGTTCATGTTCCTTGTATACTTGAAATTCCCTTTTGTTTGACATATTTAGGATAACACCAGTGAACAGTCTCAACTTAAAAAGAAATACACCTTGCAGAGGGAGAAAAACACAATCTCCTTCGAACTCCTTACCACTTTGAAAAAGTGCATATCCCTAAAGAGGGGTGAATTAAGTTTTCCAAACAAACTTTCATCAATCTTCAATGAAATTGGATAAGGCCATCAACATTTTGTAGTCAACAGAGGTAAGGCTTGTAGTTCAGTGGGGTCCAAGTTTTCAAAGCTGATAAGAGTTCTCTGCCTCCCAAGGACTGGGAATACATGTGGTGGTTCGAGTTGGGTGAGAGAAAACTAGGTCCGGTCAGGCTATAATAAGTGAGAAGTAGCACAGAGGGACTTGCCCAACTGTTAAACCGCCCTACGGCCTGTTAAGCACATTTGAGTGTAGCAGTAATTGTGGAGGCTATGATTGTAACAGCATTCATCACCTGAGACCCCTTGGGGTTGCAGGTGTGATGAACGGAAGGGGGGTTTGAGAGAAACTCCCTTTGCATTGAGTCTTGCACTATCAACATCAACTGAGGTGGCAAAAAATGTCAGCTATAGTTCGGTCATGTCAACTTCTGCTTCTTAGCATAGCCCTTAACTTGTTCTGCCATTGTCTGGACATCCTAGGATAACAGAAATGAAAACATACAATTCTGATTGCATGAGCAACATCTATGGCATCTAGTACTGTTTACCAATGAAGCCCTAAAAAAGTGACTCCTCCAATGGCTTGTTGGCGTAACAATTGATCTTGTGACACTCTTAGGATGTTCAATATGGTACGGTATGGTCCTTGTGAAGGTATTTTGGCAAAATACACATAACATGGAAAAAAACAGTCAAGTATTATTAAATCCAAATTAAGCACTCTAACCAGATTACCCCTGATAGTTTCTCTCTCCTTGTTTAACTTTTCTCCCCACCTGTACAAGCAGAGTGGCAGCAGTGACACCTACTGGGGCTGTATCTTTTGTCAAATCTAGATTTTTTGCAGTCAGTGCTTTCAACCATACATATTTTACTCAGAAGTAGATGAACAATATTTTTCAGAACCACAACACATTTCTTTTCATGCCATCCAATGAACAATATTTGTTTTCAGGAACAAACTGTTTCTCAAGCATTTTCTGGAACATTTTATTTTCTTTCAAAAAAAGATCATAGTCTCCCCCAACCCCCAGTTATCTAATTGTTCTTAAAACATGAAATGATCCCTTCTGGATACAAAGCTCAAATTTATGACACTTGTAGAATTCTTTTCATAGCTTAATGTTGGTAAACCCCCCTTTTAAATATATTACAATTTACAAAGTAACATGCCATTGATCTGTTGCTTGTCTGCATTGTATCTAACCTTTGAATAAAGTTACTAAAATTGAGGAACAGTCTACTTATTTAAAGGCATCTAATAAGTAGCAGTGCATAGTAGAGCATACAGTTCTCATTATAATACCCCTATCAACAACATGAATTTCCTATAATATAAGAATTTTGATCAAACCATTGTAAATGTTTAGCAGACATTGTGTTACAACTCAGGATTTCTCAATCTTCAAACATTTATGAATCACCAGACTCACAAATATCTTGTTATCATTGTTGCAGAAATATGCATCCCAATATTTGACTATATTACTTGGGATCAGAAAATGTAATCTCTTCAGAATGGACTGTTATATAAATACTCTGCAAAAAAAGAAACGCAAAAATAGTAAAATCATATCTGACAGGGGGTTGCCAACATCCATACAAAATTAATGCCTAAAATGAATTGGGGATTCATGCATGAACCATGATTGATTTGTGAAGAAACAATGAGGTATTGCAAAAATTTGGTGAAAGATTGCAAAAGCACAACCATGTGAGAGTCTGGCACCGAAACACACCCAAATGACATGCAAGTACAGCATCACTTGTTGGACAATAAAAACATTGGATTTTCATTTGCATGCCATTTTAATCTTACAGGGACTGAACTGCGAAAACATGCCACGACTAACTGAAGCCCAACGTAACAACACCATAGGCCTACTGCAAACAGGAGAATCATCTTCAGCTGTTGCAAGGAATTTCCATGAAGCACCAGGCTACAAGACATTACAAGATTACATTATCAGACATGTTTTGACAGACCTGCATTGTCGGCTGCGACATCCATGATGTCAAGGTCACAGATTATGGCCACAACTTCGATGGAGTTGAGTTTGGTTTAGTGATGAGTCATGTTTTATGTTTTGCTTCGGATGGTAGACGTGTTTGTTGGCATTGTGGGGACCCGTATGCATGACACTGCATACACGAAGTGGACAGTTTTGGTGGTGGTAGTTTGATGATGTGGGCAGCAATCCCCTACACTGGTAGAACAAACTTGGTGCAAGTCTGGGGGAATTTAACAGCACAACGTTACACGGATGAGATTATTTGGCCACACTCCCTTCCCATTATGCAACAAGCAAATGTCATTTTCCAAAAAGACAAAACCCGACCTCACACGGCAAGACTGACAACAGCCTTTCTCAGGAATCACATCATGTAGATACTGCCATGGCCCTCCAGGTCTCCAGATTTAAACCTAATCGAACATTTAAGAGATGTACTGGACTACAAGCATGTCAACTACAACCACAAGCACTGCAGGCAGAGTGGGTGAACATTCCCCAGGCCACAATTCGAGATCTGATTGCTTCCAAAGGATGACAATACCAGTCAGTTTTGGGCTCTAATGGTGGCCATGCAAAGATATGGAGAACAGATGACCTTCACTTTGAAATTCTACTGTTCCATGTGTGCCATATGGAACCTGGGTCAATGACAATGATGTTATCCAATTTTGAACAATTAATTACTATCTGTTGATTATTTATATGATACATAAAATCTAAATATGAAATCACTTTTGGATTTCTTTGTTTGCAGAGAATTGGAAATTTTAGTATGAATTGTATATTCATAAATAGTGGTCCCTCGTTATTGCGCCATCGATATATCACTAACTCGGTTATAGCGCGCGGTAAAGTATGGCTCCCAAAATTTACTAACATTTTTAATAAACTCAAGTTTTCCAATGACACGTTGTTTTCCCCCATCTCAGAAAACATTATCAGCTGATCACCGCAATCACGTGACACCGGAAATACCAGTCAACAAATCCAAACTGAAGTATGCAATTTAATCCTATTATTATAATATCTGGTAATAAAAAATTGTTCATTGTTTATCTGGACTAATGTTTGCAATATATTTTATTAATTTTTATTCAAAATTTCATTCAATAATTATAATAATGTTTACAATAATTTTGGCAAAATCGTATGCGAAGTGATAGGTAGGCTAGATTGCACAACTCACCATTATTTACAGCAACCAGATTGGGGGGACACATTTGCTAAGCTGATTGCTATTTCCGGCTTAGTTTATGAGACAAAGAGTCATCAGAAAGATGACATATCCCCCCGGCAGCTGTCTGTAAAGTAACCACTAGTAAATGTGCAATTCTGTATGTAATGAGTCAAACAGTTGAATGTTCTTTTAGAAGCATACATTGTTTAACCTACTGAATGGTTTTCGAATACTGCCCCGGAAATGAACCCCATCCCCAATTGAGTCTATGTCCAACTTCATTCCATAAAAATTTAAAATAATAAAAATTAGAAAAATGTAACCTTAGGTTCCGGGTACTTTACCCTTCTACCTATGGTCACTTCTACTTATCAACTACTCCTTGGTTCTAGGGATGATGTAGCTCTCTTGAAAATCACAAGTCAGATGGTTTGCTCCAGACCTTTTTATTTATGATAGAATTAATCATAAACATGTACACATGGTCCTCAGATTAGTTCTTGTTGTTGCCTGATATAAATACAACACATACCTAGATGATGGTTGAAGAGCCTGATGGTTTTTCTGATGAACGTTAACTCTACTTCTTTTCTGACTCGGGATCCCAAAACCACAGTGAACCTTTCTGTTCAGCTGTATGCTCCCGACTCCCCGCACCACTCTCGGACAACTAACAAAATACTATCAATGATAATTTTAGCTCCTCCCTCCAAAATCACATTTGACATCATGAGAAATGAGTCATAATGGTCATTCCCCAATTTCCATAGTAATTAGTTTTACCATAAAGCCCTTCGGTCTAACCAATTTGATTACCTCTTTAAGTCATTGGTCAACTTGGACATACTCATATAACCAAATCAAATACCCTCAACTACCTCTGCCAGACTGGAAGGCACCAAAAAGATACCCAATCCTGTTATTTAGACATTCCAATGAAGCAGTAGTATTCAGAAATACTTGATCACCACTAATCTAACAATCCCGTTCTATCCATCTGTCTCTGTTCTGACATCTTTATTGCAGGACTGTATTCTACCAATTTCCTCATACCAACGAAAAGTTATCTCTATCACTCAAGAAAAGCAATATCCATAATCATTTGCCCTGGGGGTTATGCCCTCACCCTGTACGGTCACTTCTCTCATATGCATCCATATTTTTACCCAAAAGCTTAATTTGGTAAACTACATTTTAAGTAAATACTAAAAAACCCTTTTTCCAAAATACCCTGGTTATAAAAATCCCAAAATATCAAAAGGCACCACTTCAGTGTATGCCTGATAGCTTTGCCAGGTTTCGATCAAATACACTGAATGGTTTTCGAATTCTGCCCCGAAAACGAACCCCATCCCCAATTGAGTCTATGTCAAACTTCATTCCATAAAATTTGAAAAAAAATAAAAATTAGAAAAATCCCAAAATATCAAAAGGCACCACTTCATTATGTGCCTGATAGATTTGCCAAGTTTCGATCAAATACACTGAATGGTTTTCGAATTCTGCCCCGGAAAAGGAAATGATTACGGACGGACAGACGGACGGACAGACGGACGGACAGATGGACGGACAAACAGACTGGCTGATCGCTATATCCCCCGCATTATATGCCGGGGGGGATAAAAATACACACAGTAATCTTAATCTCTGCATATATAACAATGCTTTGGAAAGCCGGAAATTCATTTTAAATGATAACTCATCTTGTCTAATGATGTTTTATATCAAATTTCATACTTTTATTGTCCAAGTTCGTTATATCTGTTTATTCCCCTGAATTCGCTGAATGGATACGATGTGGGTTTTTTAAAGCGCATATTAATACTCGATAAATATTTTTTACACTATGAATCATAAATAACTTTTTTTTCTAATCTTTTTTGAAACTCTGAAACGTGCAACGTAGATCGTGTTAGGTAGGCAGAGCATGTTTACTGTTTTGTCGGTCATCTACCAACTAGGATTTGACCTTCGTTAAACCACTGATCATCTATAACGCTCATTAATCATTTGGACCCCGAAGGTAGCGTTGTGGCGAGGGATCACTGTACTTATCTCTCACACTTTGCATGTCCTTTTACTCTATGATCCTATGTGGAAACGTGCTTGAACCATGTTTCCAGCTTCTAAAATATAAACATTTACCCAAACACACCCCAGCATTACCATGGTTACATCCAGCAGGCAGGCCAATCACATGCTCCCGTACACAGCAAGCCTGCTTGAGGTGACCACATGGATACCTCTGCCAACTCATTCTCTTTTGCAGAGCTATCAGGCAAGAGGAATTGAGATGTGGGGATGGTTGGGTGGGCATTACATGTGTGAGTCTCTTCAGGTGAGCTAATCTGGGAAAACCTGAACAATCAAAAGACACATGAGTCCAAAGTAAATGTTCAATGATTTATTCTGAAAATACAATCATAAACACACAAGGATTACGTGTGTATACAGTTTAACTGCATGAACTGTGGAAAGACAACTGTTGTGCCTACACCAACGTACCGAACTTGTGGAGCACTTGGATGTCCGAGAATGAGATGTCTTGAAGGTTGTATCAGACTTCCAGAAGCACCCTTTCATGATCGCAGAGAGGTTGCAGTTACTGTGTAGAGCCAAGGTAGAAGCATCCGCTTGAGTCTTGTGAGGGTTGGACGTAGTTATTGGAGGCAGCCCAGAGAAGGTATATACCCAAAAGATGATGAAGTGAAGCCAGAAGGTTTTTGGTTTTGTTTGTTGTTTTACGCCGCACTCAGCAAAATACCAGCTATATGACGGCAGTCTGTAAATAATTGAGTCTGAACCAGACAATCCAGTGATTTCCATCATGAACATCGATTCACGCAATTTGGATCGATGACATGCATCAACCACGTCAGCGAGCCTCACCACCCGATCCCGTTAGTTGCCTGTTACAGCAAGCATGGGTTGCTGAAGACCTATAATACCCCGGATCTCCACAGGTCTAAAGCCAGAAGGAAAGCATAGTACGAGAAATTTCCGAGGTAGGTGAAATTGGCAGCGGGTCGAAAAGTCTCTTCCAAGAGCGTCTGTGCTGGCGAAACATATCCAGATTCAGTCGAAGTGGGGGCGGTCGGGTAGCCTCGTGGTTAAAGCGTTCGCTCGTCACGCCGAAGACCCGGGTTCGATTCCCGAAATGGGTACAATGTGTGAAGCCCATTTGTGGTGTTCCCCGCCGTGATATTGCTAGAATATTGCTAAAAGCGGCGTAAAACGTCACTCACTCACTCACTCACTCACTCACTCAGTCGAAGTGCTCGAACTGAGAAGTCTTCTTGGTCATTCGATCCCAAGATAGACGAAAGCAGGGTAATCATAAATAACCGATCAGAATGGCCGGGAACAAAGGCCAAGAAACACCTCAATACTTCCGGATCTCTCAAACTGGACGCTGTTGACATCCAAAGTATGAATTTTGCCAATGCGGGCTGCAGTAACCAGAGCTAACAGGATTATGGTTTTCAGTGTGACAGATCAAAGTCCTCAGCCAGTGGCTCATAATCACAGGAAACCAGATGTTGAAGAATAACATTCAGGTCCTACAAAGGTGACCCAAACGGGCGACTTGGCCTGCTTGTTTGTAGGAGTGGATGGGGGATTGTAGGTCTGCAATCATGGAAACCTTTGCCTCTGAAGTCGTAGCAATGACAGAGATAATAGCCGCGAGGTAGGTGGCTATGGTGGATCTCTCAAGTGTGAGGCTGAAGGATTAGGTTGTCGCGGAGTGAACGAACTATTCCATCGTTCGTCAGCTCGCCTTAGCAAGGTGGGAAACCAATTGCATGTTGGTCAATAGCACACATCCAAAGTCACCGACAGGTGACTGGTGGCTGCTACTTTCTGCAGGACCCGGAGGACAATCCATGTTGGCGGAAAGGTGTACGCGTTGAGACCTTCCCATGAAAACACATCGTGATCCCAAGCCAGTGGATCGGGGATATGAGTGTTGAAGCGGGTGGCGAAGAGGTCTTCTTCTGGGGCCCGATAAAGTTGGCAAATCCATTGGAACAGTGTTGGGTGGAGAGTCAATCAGTGATGGTCTATCAGGTTGGGACAGGGAGTCTGCTTTGTCGTTGGAGATCCCTGGAATATGCCGAGAACAGATATGGATGTTGAGGGAGTCCATGAGTTGAAAGAACTCGAGAAATAGCGAGAGGTAGGACATCAATTTTGTGGATCCCATTCTGTTGATGTACCACACAACTACAGTGTTGTCATTGTCATGAGGGAAGAGGAGCATAGGAGTTCTAACCAATGCAAGGCTGCTGGAATGACTGCCATATATTCCAGATTGTTGATGTGGAGGTAACAGTTGTCACCGCTCTGCCACTTGAAGATCTTGAAAGTGCGCTCCCCAAACTCTGGTTGAAGCAGCAACAAACAGATGGAGGGATGAGATAAATGGCCCCAAAGAGACCCCGCCGCAAACGTGCAATGCAATTAGCCACCAAAGGTGAGGGTGCAGATGGAGTGTTATAGTCAGTTGGCCAGGGGTGAAAAACAATATTTTCGTTCCCACATTTTCCTATATACCTTCAACCTTTTCTATTGCATAAAGGAGGTATGTGTACACAATTTTCATTGGCTAGTAGGCTTGCAAATGTGAGCATAAATTTTCAAGGGGGCCAAATTGCATAAATTGAAAGAAAAATGCATAATTTGACAAAATTGGCTGTAACATTTTTATTTAGTCATTAAACTATCCAAATTATGTCTTTGATTACAGTTAATATGTTCGGTTATCTGAATTTGGCAAACATTTTGTTTCATTTAACTGTTATTCTAATTCTCAATGGAAACATTGATAAAAATAATGTTTTTTTACTTCATTTTCGTGTGAGTAGGTAAAACACTAATTCCATTGAATTGTGACAATAAAACCACTATAACTGGGTATTAATCTGCCTGAACCATTGAACTTTCCTATACAGAAAACAAAATGAAAATATGTTACATAGGGGCTGAGATATTGTATACAATGTTACCCCACCCCCCAAAAAACAATTTTGACGAAAATTGCTTATTGAGATATGGTGGTAGATTATGTTGTTGTAGTGGATAAGTGGGATAATTGCAACAATTCTTAAAAACACCAAATAGTAAACTCATAAAGAAAAATGATGTTTCAAGTTTTCCTGTGAACATTTACGGTGGCCATCTTGAATTTCAAGATGGCCACCATTTTGACCTGTTTTCAAAATCAGGATCTAATATAGTTCTTCAACATGGTCATGTAATATATCATATGAAAGCTTTTTACATTGTCTTTTCAATGATGTACCTTATTCACTGTCTTCTGTGGTAAACTGCATGATCCCCAACAATAGAACAAATGATACTACTCACAATTGTTGATATTCTGCACTTTTGTCTAAGCATTTCACTAGTTTATCATTTGATTGAAGAAACAAACATGTGAATACTTGTAGCATTATGAAGTATTAAAAATTACATCACAGAGTCAAGGCTGTGAAACAATGTCACCTCTAGTCACCGTCAGAGTCCATCTCTTCTGGAAAATTATGTAAGTTGTTTCTGTTTAGGCATGACATAGGACAACTGCATCCAAGGGAAAATCCCATGATGTTCTTGGCGCAGCTACACCTGGATGAGGAGCATCTGCCTGTTGTGCATTTACAGCGTTAGAAAGCATTATAGTCCTTGCCAAACTGCCCAATAGTTAAGGTATCATAAGAACTAGTAGAAATTTGCCCTTTGTAAGGGTTTTGCTACCATATGACCGAGGATAAGCCGACCCCGTAGATAAGCCGAGGTGTTAACTTGACCATTGAAATACGAAAGAAAATGATATGACCCGCAGATAAGCCTAACCAGGAAGTGCAAGGCAAAAAACACTGTGAAGTCGGACTGCAAGACATGTGCCCCCTACTCGCAGATATTCAATAATATAAGATGAAAAACGTTGTAATTATATAGAAAAAGTCATTATTATTTCTAATAAAGATTTAACAAACCAGTCATCCACTTTCATAATGTGGGAAGCTGTTTCTCTTGTCTTTTTTTAATCTCATTATGATCGTTTTTTGTTGCCATCAACAACGAAGCGCCATTTTGTGAATCGGTGTATATAGAATTATGAACCCGTGAGAAGATGTACCAACAAATGAAAACACAAGTCAAATATTTAGTTTCAAATCATTGTATTTTTGGTTATTTGTTTTGTGTACAAATAACTAAATAAAAACATATATACATTATCATTTACATCACATCACATCATCCCTGGTAAATCCATCAAATTCGGTGTCGCTGTCCTCACCGGCCAGAATTGCCCACGCAGCTATATCTGTCGCATCATCGTAGTAATCATCAAGGTCATCACATGCCATGACATCTTCCACATCCGTAGAAACCAGGGCAGGGGAGACGAACTCCTCGAACAAAATGTCATCTTCAGATCCGTCCATTGCGTTTGAAATTCCACATTTCAAAAACGACTTTTGCACCAAGTCTGTGGGGATCTCATCCCAAGACTCCACCACCCACTTTGCTACTTCTGCGAGTGGAGCTCTTCTCATAGCGTTCGACTTGGTGAAGGTGTGGTCGCCGTTTAGCATCCACTCTGACCACTTCTCCCGGACGTGGGTCTTGAATGGTTTATTAAGGCATATGTCAAGGGGCTGGAGAAGTGATGTACAACAGCCTGGGATGACTGCTTGGTGTGTCTTGCTTTCTGACAATTTCTTCTTTACACTCTGGCACAGGTGAGCTCGAAACATGTCCCATACAAGTAACGACTTGCATCCCCTCATGCCACCTGGCCTCGGCATCCACACATCTGTCACCCGTTGGTTAACTGAGGCTTCATCCATCCATCCTTTGGGGTGTACCGCGACAACAACTCCAGCCGGGAACTTGTCTTTTGGCATTGTCTTTCTCTTGAACACAACCATGGGTTTTAGTTTCGTCCCATCAGCCAAACAGGTTAAAAAAACAGTAAAATGTTATTTCCCGTTCCCCGTTGTCTTCACTGATATGGTCTTAGCACTTGTGGTCAACTGTTCTGGAGCCTGGCATATCGAAATTCAACGGTGTTTCGTCCATATTGCCGATTTGACAATGTTCATAAGCCATAGCCTTCTGTTCCTTGATGACAAAGGCATGAAACAATGTGAGTTTTCTGCCTAAGTGTAAGGTGTCTACTGTTCATATATATATAGTATATGTTATCATTATAAGGACCAGTGGTCTAAAACTGTTAGTTTCTAACGCTGATTTACATATCATGGAACTGTTCTGGGTGAACAATACCTTCCAAATGGCGTGCTGGATTTCTTGGGGAATTAGTCAGCAAAGAGCCGGAGTCACAGGAGACTAATCACAATTTTATTTACAAGAACAATTAACAATGAGCAAGTTACAATATCTTAGAAAATAACTGAGGGGGCCACAGAGATTCGGTACAACACTCTGGGCTGTGGGAGAGAGGTCTGCTTGGTAAGAGAGTCAAACCCCTTCTCTGCCCTATCATGTTGCTACAGTATGTATTTAACAAAAATTTGAACAATAAAAAAGGAATATGATTGGTTGATACACGATTGGTTGTGTCCTATGCTAAATGAATGGCTAGACAGAGGGGAATACTTAATCCTGTTAATCCTGTTGGACTGGCACTAATCTTGTTGACATATTTACTGGATGCTTTGAAAGAGATTATGGTGTCACTATAGATGAGCTTGTGTTGGGGCTAATCCTTAATGCACTGTAGACGAGCTTGTATTGGGGCTAATCCTTAATGCACTGTAGACGAACTTGTATGGGGGCTAATCCTCAATGCACTATAGACGAGCTTGTACGGGGGCTAATCCTTAATGAGTCTTAATTGAAGTAATTGCTGAATGTTATTCTAATATACCCCGGTAGGTGATGACAGATATACTTAAATAAAATAGTTCAAGGTAATCTATAATCACTAATTAGATCAAAACTAGACTACGGCTGTGCCATATACAACCTAAACAACTCTCTATCTAAAAAACTTGACTCAATACAATATCAGGCTCTCAAACTAATTACACGCACCCAACATGGCACCTCCTACACCTCACTTCAGGCCTTAACAAGAGAAATGCCACTAAGTCTACGCAGGGAACAGCTAAGCTTAAATTTCTGGGCCGCGTCCCAATCAAACCCTCTCATCCAAAACTTAATAAACCAAAACATCAGCCCCAAAACCAAGCTCTAGCTCGTAAACACCCCTTACTTACCCCAATATCCCAAAGAATAACAAACTACCTAAATGAACACCAAATTAAAAATCTTAAACAAAACTGCAAACAATCAAATATCTTCACCCCTAAACTTAAAATACCCAAAATAGACACAACACTAGCTAGCCAAATAAATAAACAAACCGACCCAAACATAGCTAAAACTACCACACTAGCATACATACACGAAAATTGGCCAAATTGGTGTCACATTTACACGGACGGATCTTCAGATCCGACCTCAAAACACACAGGTTTCGGAGTCCATACCACACAACCAACTAAAACCACAATCCTTCCGACTCCCAAACAACCAATCAATATTCACGGCAGAACTAATGGGCATGGCCTCAGCCCTCCATAATCAAGAATCCAAAAACCACAAAAAAATCCTAATACTCACCGACTCCCTAAGTGGATTGCAAGCCCTCCAAAACAAAAATACCAAAAACTGACCTAAATTAATAAATCAAATACTTAAAAGCTCCAACGACCTAACTAAGGCAGGCAAACAAATAACCTTCTTGTGGATACCCACCCACGTAGGAATATACGGTAATGAAAATGCCGATAAAGCAGCTAAACTATCCATCAAAATCCCAGAAATAAGCTTAAACTTACCCATCTCAAAATCAGAAATTAAAAGTGTAAACAAGCAAAAAATCACACAAAAAATGGCATAACCTATATCTAAACTCAAATAGCCAAATCAAAAAAGTGCTCAGCAAACCACTAACCAAACCAAAAATTCTCCATCCATCAAAAAAAATCAACAGAGTAATCACTAAACTCCAAACAGGACACACCAACCTAAATAACCACCTAAAAAATTTAAAAAACACACTACAGGTAACTGCCCACACTGCAAACAACTAGAAACCCCAGAACACGCACTCATCCACTGCACACACTACCTAACACATCGAACCGCATTACAAACCACCCTCAATCTAAACAAGGCTCTAACTCTAGAAGCAATACTAAACCCACAAAATAAACTAGAAAACTTCAAGGCCTTAGGCGTATTATAACCAGGGTATTTTGGAAAAGGGTTTTTATATTTACTTAAATGTAGTTTTACTAAATTGAGTGATAGAGATAACATTTTCATTAGTACAATGAAATTAGCAGAATCTGGTCTTGCAATATAAGTATCAGTGGGGAAATGAATGGATGGAACAAACTGTCAGTCTTGAAATGATCGAATATTTCTCACTACTACTGCTTGATTGGAATGTCTGATTAACATGATTAAGCATCTTTAAGACGCTTTCCAGTCTGACAGAGTGTTGGATTTTTGTCATAAAGAGGTTGAATTATGAGTATGTTATTAAGAGTTTATCGGTTGACCAATGAGTTAGGAAATTAGCTGAAGGTTTGGTTTAGAAGGGCTTGATAGAAGAACTGATTGGAACGGAAATTGGGGTTCATATGGAGGTGAGCGTTAGGACTCATTTTCATATGACGTCAAATACTATTTCGGGGTGAGGAGCAAAAATTATCATGGATAGTATTTAGGGAGTTGTCCGAGAGTGGTGCGGGGAGTCGGGAGGAGACAGCTGAACAGAAAGGTTCACTGTGGTTTTGGGATCCCGAGTCAGAAAAGAAGTAGAGGTAACGTTCATCAGAAAAACCATCAGGCTCTTCAACCATCATCTAGGTATGCGTTGTATTTATATCAGGCAACAACAAGAACTAATCTGAGGACCATGTGTACATATTTATGATTAATTCTATCATAAATAAAAAGAGGCTGGAGCAAACCATCGGACTTGTGATTTTCAAGAGAGCTACATCATCCCTAGAACCAAGGAGTAGTTGATAAGTAGAAGTGACCATAGGTAGAAGGGTAGAGTACCCGGAACCTAAGGTTACATATGGCGGAAATGCTTTAAGATCGCCGTACCATGCTCATCACAAGTTTGAACGGTTTGCATCTGCAGCGGAGTTGATGGACACTTGTTGGTTGTTAGCCTGAAACGAGCCGATGCTATTTGCCATTCACGGTAGGTGATGTCCTGTAAAGCGTGAATTAATTGTGAGGGATGTGCTTGTATTTGTGAACTGCGCTCACCGGCGAGACTATTGTTGACTGATTGAGAGCCGTGGGGTGGTCAGTTCCAGTGAAGAGACGGTGTTATTGATTTTTTTTTGGTGGTGCGGCTACTACCACAACAGTGATATTGATTTTCTGGTGTGGGACAGCTACACTGAAGGAGGACCCTCGCTGTACGCTTGAGTGCTTAGGAACTTTCTGCGGTGTTATAAGACTGTTTGACTGGTGTTACTTTGTGTGTATTGTGAGAATTTTGTTGTATAACTCTTATTTATTGCTTGTATCAATTATGTGGTCTGCAGCATGTCATCTGATGATGAGGGTACAGTAGTGAAGTATTCTACCCCTGTTAATCG